GCGGGACCCCGGGGCCATGCTGGGCGGGTGAACACCAACCTGGGCAGATTCCCCGTTTGCTGTTGTAGGCCATGCTGGGAGGTGCGGGGCTGATTCCGTGCTGCCCATGCGGGGATGGCACAGGAATCCCGCGGGATCTCTGTCCTGGAGAGGGTTAGCTGCCCTGCACGCCCCGCCATGGAATCGCTCCCATGCACGAGCCCAGGGCCAGTACCTGGGAAATGCTCGTCCCAGAGGATGCTCTGCACGTTTCCTGGAACAGGATCCTCGTAACATGCCGGGGGGGGCTGCAGAGCCCCACGGCTGGGGAGTTCAGGGGGGCTACGGCCACTCCTGCGGATCCTCTGCCCTCCTGCAGCTCACAGCTCTGCCTCCGTCGCTGGGCCAGTCCCACCATCTTCCCCAGGCCTGGGCACGCTCCTTTGGGGAGAAGTGGTGAGCACATCATGAGGGCACACAGGAAATGTGTCAGAGACCTTTAAGGAAGGGAGATGAGGGTGAAATGAGAAACAGTTGAGGCAAAGGTCTTTTATTTTATTAGGGAAGGCTGGCAGGTTCCAGGAAGGCTGATTCTTTGCATGCCATGTGCTCATTTATAAAGATATGACTCCTGTGCCATCTTGGAGGGGTTGCTAAATCCACATCCTAGGTGCTGCCTGCTGCTTTTAACCCTTTGCAGCCTCCTACAAGAGGAAAAAGTCAGGGTGGAGATGAATCTGTTAGCAGCTGCTGAGAATTAGACACTGCACCCGGTAACCTGCAGCTTCACCCAAAACCTGTCCCAAGCCCTGTCTCAAGTTCTGGAGAGCCTTCATCTTCCGCACCCTCGGGCTGTCTGTAAGTGCGTGGCTGTCGTGGCCCCTTCACGCCCTCCCTGCTCTCTTCCAGCACGGTATTCTCCTAGCAAAGATGGAACGGGGCAGATCAGCGGGGTGTTGGGCTGGGAAGCGGGAGGAACGTGGGCAGCAGCACGCTTGGTACCGGCAAGGTTGGGCTGCGGCTCTTTGACCCATCCGAGGCTGCAGCGAGCGATCTCGGGCGTTCACTCCGTTTGCAGGAGTGGGGCTTTAGGGTCCTCCCCAGGGAGCGGGTTGGGGACCGGCAGCGTGGTGGCGGGGGGGC